CCTCGTAATTATGATGAGTTTATTCAAACAAATACTTTATGAGATACAGGTGTATAGTTTATAAGATATCTTTAAAAGTATAGAAGATATCTTATTAGATTTATTAGATTTATAATTATATTTATAAGATTTATAATTATATTTATAAGATTTATAATTATATTTATAAGATATCTTATAAACTATACAAGATATCTCTGGTACTGAGATGACTGCTGTTGTCAAATTCAAGGTTAATATCTAGAAAATTATGCGGAGTAAGCTGATTAATCACTACCGATCACTACTACTAAGTGGCTTATTATTCAAATTAAGGGCATCACACATCACAATAAATTGGAGATGAAAGACAGCAATAAAAGACTTATTTGTTCCTTTTCTTTGATTTCTGTTAAGTTTGTGTAAAAATGTAGCGTCCTAAAATACATCTTATCCTAAGTAACATGTCTTATGCATCATTAAATAATCGTTTGAAATTATTCTAACAATCAACTTTAATTTTCTACAATAAAAAACAGATGTTTTAAACGCCTTACTATGGTAATGTCTCTATATACCGTCTAGCACCTACGATGATGCTTCTGGGGTTGTTTGGTGCCACTTTTGTGAAGGAGTTTAATAAACACGAGGGCCTGGTATGGTCAGTTAAAATACTGCAAGTGAACTTTGTGTTAAAAGAATAATTCATAAGTTTTGAATTGATCTCGTTTAGTTTGCTCCCAAAGCATATAAGTAAGTTAGTCACAAGATTAGGGACAAACACACAAAACCATTTAATTGCATATCTCCTTTCGGTGTTAAGAAATGCGAAATCTGGTTTTTATACGCCCGTTTACGGGACGTATTATTGTACATGTATACCGTTGTCCGTCCGTCCGTCTGTCATTCCGTCGTCAACATGTCGGACAATAACTCAAAAACGCTTTAACTAATTTGCATGAAACTTTGGTGAATTGTTTATATCTGTTGATGTGAGCTCCCTTATGATTTTTATAAATTTTAGATTTTTACTTTTCCGAGTTATGGGGTTTTATTCATCAAAAAAGGGGGATTTTCCAGTTTTCGGACAATAACTCAAAAATGCTTTGAGCAGTATCATGAAACTTTGGTGACTGGTTTATATCTATTGAAGTAAGCTCTCTTTCGATTTTTATAAATTTTAGATTTTAAATTTCCGAGTTATGAGATTTTATTCATAAAAAAGGAGGGTTTTTCCAGTTTTCGGACAATAACTCAAAAGTGCTTTGAGCAGTTTTCATGAAACTTTGGTGACTGGTTTATATCTATTAAAACAACCTCCCTTTAGTTTTTCTTTATAAATTACTGATATGACATTGAGACGTTATATAGAACGTTATTCTTTAAAAAAAGCTACCGGTGTATCATGCGCTCATGGCGCAGCTCTTATTCCTTTATACCACGCATTTTACCAATGGTCAATTTCGATATCTGTAATTTAAAGCATCGTTGCACTCAATAGTCATCACGTTTCGAATTTGTGCAAGATAAGGAAATTGAGTTTAAAGATTACCTAATATTGCAGTATATATTGATATTATAAAATATCCGCTGCGAGTCACAATATGAAGTTTTTTGTCGAGTGAGGGCAGTGAACGAGATTATAAAAAGCTTCATATTGTGTCGAGCAGCTGATATTTTTTTTAAATGTCAATATGCAGACAACCTGAACAGAGTGATACAGACAGTGGGAACACCGATAACCTTTGCTACTAAGCCTAGGTTTTTAATGGAAACTCGTCTCTTCAAAAATTTAATAGCATTCACGCAGTGTTAACTCATTTGCTGCAACAGAAGACAAACGATATATTTCAAACTAACATAGTTACAATTCCGTCTTTCTTTCCTCGCTCGCAGTTTATCGCAGGATCTTTACTTGGTACGAACACATAATAAAAACAACTTACAAGTCAGGAGCCTCTGGCCTTTGTTAGTCTTGTATGTTTTTTTTTTAATTTTAGTTCATTTATGTCTGTCCCAAGTCAAGAGCCTGTAATTCAGTGGTTGTCATTTGTTGCTTTGTTACTTATTTGTTTTTCGTTGATTTTTTTTGTACATTAATTAGGCCGTTAGTTTTCTCGTTTGAATTGTTTTACATTTGTGATTTCGAGGCCTTTAATAGCTGACTATGCGGTATGGGCTTTGCTCATTGTTGAAGGCCGTACGGTGACCTATAGCTGTTAATTTCTGTGTCATTTGGTCTCTTGTGGAGAGTTGTCTCATTGGCAATCATATCACATCTTCTTTTTTATAAACACTTTTACGTTATGTGGTCTCTGATGGAAGGTTGTCTCATTGGCAATCATACCTCATTTTCTTATCTTTAAAATGATACATAACAGAAATATATTCGTTGTAACAAAACATTAACCTGATCATTTAAGGAATATGCAGTTTTTCATAATAAATAGAGAGGGGTAACAGTACATACAGAATATTATTGGACACTTCTATCCAAAAATAGTGTCGGACAGTTGCACCCTTGAACTTATTCAAATAGTTCTGTTCTGGAAAATATTCTGACAGTAATACTCCAGAACATATCATGACAGTTATATTCCATAAATTGCTTTAGGCAGCTCTATATAGTTATGTATCTTATTTGATTTGTTTTATAAGTTTTTCCATATTAATTTGTCTTATTTTGATAAACAAAATTCAATATAATTTCAAACAAAAAATTGTGTGAAATCGGTGTTACTTTTGACGATTAAATATTTAGTATTTAGCTAGACGAACTAGCGCATGCACAAATATACATAATAATGATACTAAACATTGCAAAACATCATAATGTTTGTATCCCATCATTATCCGATAAAATGGATATTGTCGCTGTAATATTTTACCTGTAATAAACGTCCCCACATTGACCACGACCTGTATAAACGTGTTTATTCTAATGATAAACCTAGTATTTCTTATAATTATTGCGGAAATATTAGAAATAGTGTTGATGAGAAATGCAGTATTGACATACTTCCTAGACCAGGGCGGATTCAGGAGGGGGCGTGGCGGGCGTGCGCCCCCCCCCTGAAATTTACAAAGCATGGGTTGTCCTCAGCTTAATAAAGAATATTTCGATAATTTTACCTCAAAAAAAAATTTAGCCTCGCTCCGCTCGGCGAAAATTTAAGTTTGCGCCTCCCTAATATTAAATCCTCGATCCGCCCCTGTAGATCGTAAATATTATTACAATTTGATCATTTTGAAAAAAAAAAAAAAAATTGCTTACAAGGAAAAATCAAGCGCATTGTCCCGTTTCCAAATTACGACCAGAGAGCTACTATAAATAACGTCAATTAGGAGCGTTCTACTCTAGAATATATTCTGAAAGTTCTACCCTGGAACAGATTTGGAATTTTCTGTCGTAGAACTGATCCTGACAAGTCTACCATAAAGCAGTTTTTGACAATTTTACGCTCAAACTGATTCTGACACTTCTAACCTAGAACTGAGTTTAACAGTCAACAGCAAAAGGGACAAAAAAAATATCTGAGACTAAAATAGCAATCAGAACACACCAAACATCTAATAGATTTGTTCTCCGGGCACTCCGGCTTCCTCCACCAATAAAAACTGGCCGCCACGAAATAGCCCAAAAGCGGTGCTTAAAAGTGGCTTTAAAACACAAAAAAATCAAATCAAATATAAAAGATAGATTTGGTATAAAGACGTCATTAACAGTGAGGGAGAAACATAATGCGATAATAAACGTTCAACTTTACGATTTACTGGTTTTGTTATGATAACTTCGTAATGACAGAATCTTGAAACCAGACTTCAAATCGGAAATTTTATAAAACTGCAGGATTACAAATCAAATCAAATTCAAAAGAAAGTTTTTCGATTTTTTATGAAACTGGACGAATTATTCATTTTTGCCTGAATATTTTCGATCTGAGGTTGGAATTTAGCAGGAGATGCACTTTTCATCACCGAACTTTGGAATGTGATTTTCCTGCAAAAATATGAGGCGGCACACTTTCAGGAACCAGTATTAACGCGGTTTTTAAAAATAAATAAGTACGGTAAATCATACGTTTTTTGGTTCATTGTTTATATTCTAAAATTCAGCAAGAGGTCGACTAATATAAAAATTCTAGAAAAATGACTCTTACATCTTACACGAGCAAATCTGCTCAATGAAGATCTACAATTTCACTTTTTAAGACATGACTTTTTTTTGAAATAAAGTACGAAAATTCAATTTTAAATGAAATAATTCTGCTGACATATAGTTGGTCATAGCTCTTGTATAAAACCAATGTGGCTAATATTTTCATTAAAACGCCAGTTTAGGAAAATGTCAAAGGTTCAATAAAAATCAACCAAGATTAAAAACATTCCAATTATTGAACAGATTTTTTCTTGAAATCAAGCTGGGTTATCCATGTTTTATTTTATCATTCTTCGATGAACTTATCTTGATTACCACATATCTCAATATCTTAAAATTGACGACCCAATCTTGACTTCCATTAAGCAATGTTTTTAAGAATATGTTCACTTTTGTGAAATACGATCTCAAATTCCTATCAATTTAGCAGTATTAAATGCAAATAATGCCTCAATGATAAGACTGAACACCAGTTTGAAATGCATCCGAACTTAGGAAATGAATGCTATTAATTGCTTAGACGTTAAAAACATGCTTGATTTAGCTAAACCAAAACAAAGCCAATATAAAACACTAATATTCCAAGAAGACTAAAACATCAGTCAAAAGCAGTCACCATAAATAAAATGATTTATGTTTGCATTCATTTGCATTGTCGCAAAGCTCGCAAAATTCGCCTGGCGAAATTTACAAAAAAGACGTTTCTTTGTATAATGCTTTGTTTTATTTTGATGTTACCAAAGTCTGATGTATTCTGTTGATAGATGTTACGGCTTGGAACATGTGTGTCTGTACTAGTTCATGTTAGTAAAACATTTATCAAAGTTTTCGGATATACGAATTAATTGAGAGAACACACAAAATCACTAATTCCCTGTATTTATTAAAACATGATATTGTCAGTATTGTATAAAATAAAACATATTAATAATTCAGTACGGAGAGCACAAATTAATATTGAATATACAGGACTGCAACAGGACAACTGTTAAAATTTACAATGTAAGTAAAAAATAAACTACAGAGGGTATCAATAAAATAAAACAATAACTAGAAAAACGGACATGTCAGGAAACGCCCCATTTGCCCTTTTTTGTTTGAAGCATATATACAAATAATGAACTCGCACGCAAACAAAACGATACTTTATTTGGGCGGCATTTTTGGTAAATTTTGACAAAAGGAAATAATCCATGGTGTGTTAAGTAAATATCAAGATTCTTTGAAATCAGGACTGATAATTGATTTATATGTAATTTGGTAGCCTTAAAACAAATGATGACATACAGATAATCCTTAAAAAAAGAAGTCATTTTGGAATATGATATCATAACTTACTATTTCTACATCAATTTCAATTTAAAGCCTAGCACAGAGACTTATTTCTCAAAGAAGTGAATTAAGTAAAATAAAATGAGTTTGATGGAGCATACAAAACATGTAGTACTACTTAAATATCAGTTTTCTATATATTTACAATAACAGTACAGACCGAGCTGTTTCAAAATTTTCAACATTTGCCAAATGTTCATAAAAAAATCTATTTTAGTGGAGAATCAATTTGGAGAAGAATATTTTACCTACATACCTTTGGAATCCTACATGTAGCACGCCAGCTGGTACTATAAGTATGTAATGTTTTAACAAAAAATAAGATACATTGAACAAGCCAATGTTTGCCAAAAAAATATTTGCCATCTACATATTATGCACAACAATTGTCAAAATTTCATCAGGGTCCTACCTTTTTTATTTGAGTTTTTGCGTTTGCAGAAATTATTAACAAACACACAGACATACGGACGAATAATGTGGAAAGTATAAGGCTCCCGGAATGTCGATGTGGGGCACTGATAATAATGCTAATACTATGAATTGAAAACTTAAATGAAAGAATAAATAAATACATAAAATGAACAGGATAGAATTATAATTATAAATGACATTCTACCTTAAACCGATATATTCTAAAATATCAAAAGTGAAATATTTACAATAGTTATTTACAGTGTTAATTTCAAACCGAGGTCTGACATTACAGAACTCCTTCATGAGACCTGCATTTAACTGGTAAAAAATTCTCTACGGCAATACTTATATCTGCACGTGGGGTATATGAATGACAGAGGCCAACGGTTTCCAAGAACAAAAGGTTCAGATGGGTCAAGTTATGGAAGGTCTTCATCATATGTCCAATATCGGGGTCTGGCATAACCGTCCCCCTAGCCATCCTAAATTTAACTCGTAAACCATGCTTTTCTTTTACTTATATTTTTATTTCAGGTTCTTTTATGTATTTTAATTGTAAGCCAACTGATTGATATTGAAAAAGGTAAATTAGATTTTAAAACAAGTCAACCATGCCACATGCTCAGGTGATTGTCCCAAGTCAGGAATTTCGTCAATAGGTTTTGTTCGGTACATGTTGATGCTCGTCTATTTGTGTTTGGGTTGATTTGTTGATGGGTTGCTGTCTCATTGATATATGTCATCACTGACCCAACTTCTTCGTTTGTTCACAAGACTGAAACATGATGTGGTAGGTCAGTAATTCAGAAGTTTTATATAATTTAAGAAAAAAAAAAAGAAAAAAATGCCTCAGAACCTTTATACAATATAGTTCATTAAAGGTTATCTTAATTCCTTTAGAATTACAAATGTTACATTTTCAAACGCAACTGACAGATTTCAAGTTTTTCAAATGAAACGGAAAACTTGATGTTCACATACATATTGTCGTCAGTTCTTGTCTGTCAGTATTTTTTTCCGCGAATTGTTTTGTTAAAAACAAGGCCGTTAGTTCCCTCAATTCAATTGTTTCAAAATTTTCATGTTAGGACCTTTTATAGCCGACTTTACGGTATGGGTTTTTCTCATTATTGAAGACCGTACGGTTGCCTATAATTGCTTACATCCACTTCATTTGCACTTTGATGGATAGTTGTCTCGTAATTTTTATGTAAAACTTAATATAATTATAATATCTGTTTTACTTTTATACATTGCACTGGTAATGCACTAATTGCAATGAAAAGTATATATATTTTTTCGTTTGACTTAAGGGATTTTCCCTACGTTAAATATAGTTATATATATTCAAAACTGGCTAGAGCAGTTGTAAAACGGGTTATAGTTGTTTTGGATCTAGATATATTGGTTATATTTAGATATATTGGTTATATATGCACGTGGAATCCTTTTGCGATTTAAAGGATCGGGTTTCGTTATATTATTAAAAAAAAAAAATAGTTGAACTATCATTTCATCGAAGATGCTCACAGTTACTACAAAGTACAGTTTACAGTTTATTGTCATATTTATGAATATGGATCATATAGAGTTTAAGTTCATTTACACATATTGAGTGTTGAACATATTGTTGTATGCAAATGTCAAATTGTTATCAAATTATATTAGATTATTACGTTTTTAAACATTGTTTGCAAGAGAAAAGAAAACGTTTCTGCGAGCAACCAAACCTATATTAGAATTTTGTCTTATTTATACGAAGAAATTTAGAAAAATTCGGACGAGCAGGCGAAGAAGAATTTAATAAGCTCTTAATTTGCAATTACGGAATTACGAGTCCTCAATCGAGGGCATCATTAAGAGATAAGGTTTACAGTGTAAAACTGAAGAAAAAATAAATAGTAATACGTATATCATTTGGTAACTCGTTACATACTGATAGCACATACCGATTTCGTTTATTAAAAGTTAAAAAAAAAGAGTTATTTGTATTGATGACTTAGATGTGGATTTAACATGCAATACCATACGAATAAACGAAATATGAAAATAAATAGGTTTAAAGATGGTTATACTTATAGAACTTTGCTGTTCGAAAAAGATTCTAAGTACTGGTGTCAATGTTTTAAAAGAAAAAAGAAATCATAAAGAAATCTACATGTCAATAACATTAAGTCAAATTGTTATTTTTTGACAAAATTATGAATTGTTCTTGAAATGGTTTTGTGGTGGTAGCTGTTTCTCGAAATTGCTAATTGATGCTTCTCCGCCGTCTTCAAAATAAACATCAAGATCGCTTATTGTATTTTCTCTAAATGTTTTGGTCCTATTGGACAACATATCATTGTCCTTTTTTTCCCCACTTTCATGTTGGCAGCCAGAGTAAACACCAACTTTTATCCTGTACAAATAATAAATACGAACGGTCAGTTATGTAAATATCAAAAATCAACGTACATAACTGGCTTTTTAACATTATAACAGAATTATAAATTTCAAAAATAAAATCATCGTTGCTTCACAATATTATAAACCCATACTATTTGTGTCAGTTAACTAGAGGCTTTAAATAGCCTGTGTCGCTCACCTAGGTCTATGTGAATCTTCAACAATGGATACACTCCATATTTGTGGACTAGAATAGAATTCATGACAAAAATCTCTTCTTTGTTGACCTAGTCTTGCTGATCATTTTATCTTTATATCTAAGTTTCTATCTATCTAATATAGTGTTTCAGATAGTAGGCAAAAACGCAAAAAAATTGGTCAGAACCATCATTAATTGGCAATAACTCCAATAAGTGTCGTCAGACGATTTCAACTATTCGACTTTTTTGTACACCTTGTCTTGCTGATCAATTTTGCTAATTTAAGTTTCTATCTATCTATTAAACTTTTTCAGATAAAAGGCAAAAACGCAATAAAAATTGTAAAAATGGTCATTAAAGGGCAATCACTCCAATAAGGAGTCATCAGACGATTTCAACGATATTACTGACTGTAAACCAGTTAATTTTATATCAACATGCCAGCCAAAAAATACGTCAAAATCCGGCAATGGCGGTAAGGTGTTTACAGAAATATGTGTGTTTATTAAGGACAAATGCAATGACATTAAAGAAGATAACGTGACAGTAAACGATACTATGAGTGCAATAAATGAACGTTTTAATAAGGAAAGTGACTAACTACAAGATACGGAGAAAATCGCGCTGAATGTGATGACATTATTGATGCCAATTTTTGGATGCCTTGGTCATGTTGGTTACAGCCCGAAGGGATGAAACGATTATGGTACATGATACTAAGACCAACCGGTTACAAGCAGGTGTACGTAAAATAGAATATGCAAACAATGCATTAGAACAATACTCTAGAAGGGAGAATATAAGGGTGACTGGTGTACCGGAAGTGCAAGATGGCGACGAAAATTTTGTTGACATTATGAAGAACCTAGCAAATGCCATGAAGATTGAGGTTGATGAGGGGTGCGTGAATGATGCCCATCGTTTGGGTAAGAAAAATCCTGGTTGAAACCGGTAGATGATTTTACGTTTCACAAATCGTACAATCAGAAATAGATTCTTGGCAGGACGAAAAGAGCTGAAAAAATCTGAACATTACAAGGATGTTTATATTAGCGAAGATTTAACCGTTACGTTATAAACTTTTCCAGACGGTACGCAAGTCCGAAGATGTGAAAAATGCACACACGAGGGACGGCAAAATTCATTGTTATTTGAAAAATGAAACCAAAATTTACATAGATTCCCGAGACGACCTATTCAAATTGGGATATAATGAAGTGGATTACAAGCAGTTATGCCTTGCAGAGCTATAGGCAAAATCGGGAAGGAAATGTTCTAGTGCCAGTAGTGGTGTCTGTGATAGCATACCGTGTGTTTTTCAGGAAAAGTCATTGGTCAATATTAATAAAGATGTTGAAAATGTTTTGCAATTTTATAAAATTAAAGTTTTAGCGTTAAATGTGTGGTCTAGTCTCTAAATTGAGAAATCCTGATTTTATAGAATATATATCTATTTACGACATAATTTGTCTAACAGAAACAAAGCCTGATCAGTATGATGATGTTAATGTCGATGGTTTTCTGTTATTGCCCCCTGTTAATCGACAAAATTGCAAAGCTAAATCCGGTGGTATATGTGTCTTTGTAAGGGAAAATTTGTATGAATTTATTAATGTTGGTGACCCTTATACTTGTTCTAGTCATTGTGTTTTGAGGTTTGCAGTTGATGATAAACTATTGTTTAATAAAACACTGTTTAGGGTTGTGTATATTCCTCCTGAGAATGGTTTATACAGTGATGTTGATATGTTTAGTGAAATTGAAAATGTTATTGCTGATACAGAGCTACAAATCTGCTTGCTTGGTGATTTTAATGCACATATTAGTGATGTTAATGAATATGTTGTTATTGATAATAATAAACTTTGCAATGTTCCTAATGTTGATCAAGCTTTTCTCAATAATTTGCATATATTAGAAGAATGTGGAATTTCAGTTGTAAGAGATTCACAAGATAAATGTAAAGTTGACAAATATGGCAAAAGACTATTAGAATGGTGTAGAAGTTTAGAACTTTTCTTTGCAAATGGTAGAGTGGGAAACGATAGAGGTATTGGTCATTCAACATGTAATAATTCAGTCATTGATTATGCAATTGTATCACCAACTTTATTTAGAGCAGTAACTGATTTTAATGTTTTACCATTTGACCCAATACTTAGTGATGTTCATAATCCTATTTGTTTACAATTGAGTTCAAATATAGCAAGTGTTAATAACTTAAATGTTTCAGTTGAATTAGACATTACAAATGACTCTGATATTGTAATCGCCTATGAAGGTGAATCTATTGTAAAACCAAGATGGGCCAGCGATCGAGCTCCAGTTTTCACGGAAAAATTAGACGATAACAGCATAGATGAACTCTGGAATGGACTAGAGGATATTGATCCTCAAAACACAAATATTGTAATTATTAATAAGGCTGTAGATGATTGTTATAATATTATTAAGAATGCTGCTGAGCATGCAGATATGCTTGTGAAAATTAATAATAGCAATGCACAGAAAAATGTAAAACGTCAGAATTTACGCTGTAAACGGTATTTTAATAGTGATTGTTATGTGAAACGTAAAGAATATCGCAAGTCAAAGAAGTATTTTTAAAGAGTTCGTTCAACAATTAATTATAAAGATATGGTATGTAAAAGCAGAGTATAAAAAGACTTTGAAAATGCAATTTGATGAGTATCAGAAGGCATTTGTTAGCAAACTACGTGGTCTGCGTACCACTAATCCCAAGTTATTTTGACCATTATTGAATAAAGGTTGTGATAAAGGTAAAAATACTACACAGAAGGTTGCTCTTGATGTATTTTTTAACCATTTTAAAAATCTGAATACTGTTGAAAATGATGTTGAGGTTATTTTGCCCGAAAATGTTAGTGAGTATAATACTGTTATTAATCAGACAATTTGTGAACAGGAAATTGCTAATGCAATTAAATCATTGAAAAATAACAAAGCTTGTAGTGATGATATGATACTTAATGAATTTTTTGAAACATGTTGCTAGTAAACCAATGCCTGTCTTTGTTAAAATATTTAATATTGTATTTGATAGTGGTATTATTCCAGACTCTTGGACAAAGGGTTTCATCTGCCCTTTTTATAAAAAGAAAGGTGATCCTGCAAATGTTGACAATTATCGAGGAACAACGATATTGAGTTGTAATGGCAAATTATTTACCTGCATTTTAAATAACAGGTTGTTTAGTTATTTGGAAAGTTTAGGCTTGCTATCTGAAGAACAAGCAGGTTTTAGAAAACGATATGGCACTGTTGACCATATTTTTAATTTAAAATGTCTGATTGATCTGTATTTATTTAGAAGAAAAAAATTGTACTGTGCCTTTGTAAATTATCGCAAAGCTTTTGATTCAGTGAACAGAGTCTTGTTATGGTAGAAGCTATTGCGCAATGGTATAGATGGCAAATTGTTGATTGTGGTACAAAATTTGTATAAAAATGCAAAGTCATGTGTGAGAGATGGTTCTAATTGTTCAGATTTTTTTGCATCAAACATTGGTGTAAGGCAGGGTGAAAACCTGTCGCATCTCTTATTTTCTATTTTCTCAATGATCTCACTGAGTTTATGTCTCATGCTTATAGTGGTTTAAGTGATGTTTGTAACATGTCAAATCTGTTTTTTGATAACGATGATATTGAAGTTTATTTCAAATTGTATTTGTTATTATATGCTTATGACACTGTAATTTTTGCTGAATCTGCTGCTGAATTGCAGTCTGCCTTGAATGCAATGTATTTATACTGTGAAACATGGAAACTTAAAGTTAATACAGCCAAAACGAATACTGTTATATTTTCTAAGAGTAGACAGGCTGAAAATGCTCATTTTATGTACAATAATGAACGTTTATCTGTTATCGATGAATTCCAATATCTTGGCATAATATTTTCTAGAAAGGGTACTTTTCATAGTAACAAGTCTAGACTGGTACAACAACCTAGAAAATCTATGTTTATTGTATTGCGTAAAGCAAGAAAAATGTGCTTACCAATAGACATTTTACTACAATTTTTTGATGCTATGGTTGCACCTATTTTGTTATATGGTGCTGAGGTTTGGGGGTATAAAAACAATGATATTGTTGAATCTCTGCATTTAGAATTTTGTAAATATATTATGAAAGTTAAAAAATGTACACCTAATTGCATTGTATATGGTGAACTTGGTAGAGTACCTATGTCTGGTCGAATTAAAGTAAGAATGATTGGTTTTTGGGGACGTATTGTTACGGGTAAAAAAATTTCATATACACTGTACGAAATGTTGTATAGACTCGACTGTGGTGATGTTTATCATTCTAAATGGTTAAATTATGTAAAAGATATTTTAATTGAATATGGTAATGCTGATGCTTGGAATTATCGATTTGTTGGAAAGTATTGTAATTTATCTAAAAATGTTAAACAGTATTATCATGATTTATTTGTAAATGATTGGAAGACTAAAATATTCAATTCATCTAAATGTTTAAATTACAGAATGTATAAGGCTGAATTTGGCATGGAAAATTATTTAACTGGATTACTTTTTGATTTAAGACACAACTTATGTTAATTTAGATGTGGTAGTCATAGATTACACATTGAATGTGGTACATGTTTTAGTATAGATAGGTCAGAAAGAGTTTGTGATTTATGTAATAAAGAAGAATTGGGTAATGACTTTCACTATATATTTGACTGCAATTTTTTGATGTTGAGAACCAAAATTTTTTACCTGCAGAGATAAGTTATAATTGTTGATAGTTTCTATGAACTAATGAATAGTAATGATAAAATTCACTCTTGTTGGATTGTCTAAATTCTGTAAAATTGTAATGTCAATATTTAGGTGGTATTTACCTTCCTGGATAATTCTGTACATTTGTATATATGTTTAATTTTGTTCATGCATTATATTTGTTATATTTTATTGTTTGTACTATCATGCCTCATGTGAGGCCATTAGTGAAATAAAAAGTTTCAAGTTTCAAAAGTTTCAAGTTTCATATTGACTTATTTGTAGAACTTATCTTGCTGATCATTTTTGCTATATAAAGTTTCTCTCTATCTATTATCATTTTCAAGATAATAGGCAAAATTTTATAAAGTTGGTAAAATTCGTCATTTAAGGGCAATAACTCCTGTAAAAAGTCATGTGACAGCTTTGAAGTAAGTAGACAATAGTTAGATCTCATCATTCCAAACATTTTTGCCCTGTAAGATTTTCTCTATTTATAGTGGTTTTCAAGATAATAGATAAAATTTGCATTTTACCCCAATGTACTATATTTAGCCATGTCGGCCATCTTAGTTGGCTGGCAGGGTCATCGGACACATTTTTTTAAACTAGCCACCCTTATGATGATTGTTGCCAAGTTTGGTTGGTTAAATTTGGATCAGTAGTTACAGAGAAGAAGATTTTTGTAAAAGTTGACGATGGACGACGAAACTGCAAAATTTCCTTAAAATTACCAATCCAACAACGGGTTGTCTAATTCGTCTGAAAATTTTAAGCCAGATAGATCTTGACCTGATGAACATTTTTACTTGTGTTAGATTTGCTGTAAATGCTTTTGTTTCAGAGATATAAGCTAAAAACTGCATTTTACCCCTATGTAAGTTTGGTTTAACTTGGTCCAGTAGTTTCAGAGGAGAAGATTTTTGTAAAAGATTACAAAAGTTTACGAAAAATTGTGAAACAATGACTTTAAAGGCCAATAACTTCTTAAGGGGTCAATTGACAATTTTGGTCATTTGACTTATTTGTAGATCTTACTTTGCTGAACATTTTTGCAGTTTACAGTTTATCTCTATCTATTATAATATTCAAGATAATAACCAAAAACTGCAAAATTTCCTTAAAATTACCAATTTAGGGGCGAATCACAACAATGGGATGTCTGATTTGTCTGACAATTTCAGGGCAGATAGATCTTGACCTGATGAACAATTTTACCCCAGATTTGCTCTAAATGCTTTGGTTTTAGAGATATAAGCCAAAATCTACATTTTACCCCTATGTTCTATGTTTAGCCATGGCGGCCATCTTGTTTGATGGGCGGGATCTTCGGATATATTTTTTAAACTAGATTTCCTAAGGATGATTTAGGCCAAGTTTGGTTCAATTTGGCCCAGTAGTTTCAGAGGAGAAGATTTTTGTGAAAGTTAACGGACGACGACGGACGACAGACACCAAGTGATGAGAAAAGCTCACTTGACCCTTTTGGTCAGGTGAGCTAAAAAAGGGGACATCATGCCAAATAATGATGAATAATAGGGAAAATAATAACATACAATAAAAATAAATCGACAGTTTTTTATGACATCAACAATAATAATCAGAAGAGGCTTTGAGCTAGCTTTTAAAGAACTCTTGTATCGGTACTTTGTATATTTTGTCTTTAGCTATATGAAGGTTAGTTGGTTCTTTGTGCTTCGGATCGTTCTCATTATGCAAGTCATTTCCAACTAGTTTCTTACACTTTTTTTTCTGATTTTGTACTAGTGTTACACCTTTGTCCCTGGACACACGAGAGGGTTAAGCGCTCACAAACATGTTAAACCACACCACATCCTTAATTTGCTTGTCCCAAGTCAGAAGCCTGTTAGTCAGTGGTTGTATTTGGTTGCCGTCTGTTACATCTGTTTGTCGTTTAATATTTTGACATAAATCATAATCAGGTTATTTTTTATTGTTTCACATTTATTAAAGATGGGGGTTGGTGAGAAGTTAGAATAACAGACTATACGATGAAGGGTTTTGCTCACTGTTGTAAGGGGTAGGATGATCTAACATTACTTATATCTCCGCTATGTGGTCTCAATAGCAATCATACCACATCTCCTTACTTGTTAATTGAATAAAGCGTAGTTAAAAACTACCATAAAAACGTACGAACTGTCAGTGCAAAGGTCAAATTGTAAGTCAGAAAAATATCTAAAAGCATACTTACTTTTCATCACTGTTTTTGTGCTTCAAGTAGAATAGTAAAGCTAACAAACAAACAAGCACACCAATGACACCAAAAGATGAAGCCAGTGCTATAATGGTCTTGTTACTATCTTAAAAGATAAAATGTAAAAATAAAATTTATTGATATTATTTAGAATCAATAATCAGTACAGTTGTTTAGTTATATCTTTTAAAAATGTGTTTATACCTTTCGGTATTTATGGAAGTTTTTCCATAGACCCTGGTAAATTCATTTAGTGCATTATTTTGGGGAATAAACAGCTCATATGTTGCAAACACATCTATATATTGCTAAATTCTTAATGCTGATCGCTTGATTTCATGTTTTGTATGCTCGTCGTTTGGTTGCTGTCTCATTACATTTTACATGCATTACTTTTTAAAATTTGTTTGTTACCTTCGTTTTTTCCTTGACTCTCATTTGAAGATTCACAGACTTCCTGCAATACAATTTTTCATATACAATGCATTATTCATATCAAATGTTTATAATGTATCACACTCAGTTTTAAAATCCTTCGTTGGACCCATTTCACCAAATGCAATTTCATTTATATGCATATATAAGCTGCTCTTGTCAAATCAAAATTACATCGATATGTATACATCAAAATACTAATTAACATGACAGAATGTGCCCCGAATGATACACTCGTTTTATTGCATGCCTTTTGTATATACTTAAGACTATATAATCTGGTAACGGTAATTAATTGTCATATCAAAATCAGAATCAAGATTTATGAACTAAAACATGATTTTGTTTTAGAAAATTACTGAAGTAGTGTCAAAAGTGAAAGGACATTTAAAACAGGAATACATCTAACACACCATAAAAAAGCACACACTAACGTTTATTAAAAAAGAAAACGATGAGTCCGATTGAGTTGAGAATTTTTGTATAATGTTTTCATTATTTGTTTAATATTTATTTTTGAGTTATATGTGACTGTCTATATATTTTCCTTTAAAATGCGACATTTTCTTTGTTTAAATATGAGAAGCAAATATTTACCAATGAAACACAAGTCATCGATCTATTACATGAAAAACATCCGTCGTCATAAATAAGGATTGTAACTTTATTGCCAAAATTGGTTCCGTCGTTTGACAGTGTGATTTCATACCCTTCTGCCATCTTAGGTCCCGAGGCTGAACGAGTTTTTCTTGATACGTCAAGGTCGACGGTAACCATAAACATATTTCTGTACTGAGCCTTGTTAATTTCCCAATTTGATGAGTACAATTTAGAATTATCAACTACCTACAATTGATTATAAAACATTTATTATAACCACATAATTATATAAAACACATCAAAGAAACAAAGTTTATAGTTTAATAAGCCAGATGTGCATTTCGCCTTCATAAGAATCATAAGAAGCGCTCGAAGCAAAACGGTTGGTAGCCTAAATAAAAAACAAGTAAATGCAGTATGACTTAAGAAGAACGAATGAATTTGGATGAAAATGAATCAAATTTCCCTTGAATACTACTTAATTGCCAAAGTATGAAAGGGTCAACGCTTTCATTGATTTTCGTCAACTCAGTATTTACTGCATGGAAAGGTTTAAAGTGATGCAATTCAGAGCAATTTGTTTTTCGATTGTCTTTTTCAAATTGATAATTTATATCATATACATTGACATTAATGATTATGGCCTCAACTTTGTTTTATCTGAAAATGATATTTGCCATTATATAAATATAGCTAAATAGGTTATTTGTTTATGATTATACCATCTATTAATGGCAATCAACAAAGTGAATTGACATCAAAATGGAAAAGTTTTACTTAACCAAAACTGCATAAGAAAGGAAAGCATCGGCAATAATAAAAAAGAAAAAAGAAGTAAAATAAAGTGGACCTACAAGCATACATGACAAACATCCGTTCAATACGAGAACTTCGAATTCTAGCAAATGAACAATTACTCATTTGCATCATGTTCATATTCTTATTTTGGAAAGATATAGTATGATTGCAAATGAAACAGCTCAACAGAAACAACTGACGTTGAAGTAAGCAAAGATAAGTCACCGTACGGCCTTCCTTCAACAATGTGCAAAACCCATACAACATAGCAAGCTATAAAAATCGCCGTAATGACAAATGTCACACGTGAAAAGTAACAGCCTGATTTATGTACAAAACAATAAACTAAAAACAATTACGATATACAGCAACAAACAACAACAACTGAATTACAGGCTCATGACTTGAGACATGCACATTTGATTGAATATCCTATCAATTATGATTAATAATTCTACATTCGAATTATCGCTCAGCCAAAGAGAATGCATTAAAAAGTATCTGGCGACGTCATAACTTATTAATCGATTTTCCACTACTGAAGGACTGAGAGCTATTTGAAAATTTTTGAATATAAAAAACAGAAAGGGTCTAAAATAGAATAAATAATTCAAGAATTTATAGAAAGGATTCTATATAAATATAAATCACGAAGTACCTTAAAATATCGGATCTTATACCAAATTTCCATTGACAAAAAATCACCATAGATATTAGTTTTTCTGCATGTACGTGTTGTTGTAGTACATAAACCTTCAGCTGGCAGACTTATGTTAACAGGTGGCGTTGAAGTTTCTTTGGAACAGTCATCATCAATATATCCATTTGAACACTCACACTGACCTACAATGAATATAAACTTAACATAAATTTTATCAACAAGATATACAAAAGGGGGATATGATTAAACAGTTTAAAATGTCTGATTTTGAGATCTTGACAAATGCCATTAGTATTAGTGTATTTGAAGATGAAAAACAATAGAACAACAGATTATTTCATAGTATCATCGTACGAAAGGCTACTGTTCATGTTAAATTTAACAAAACTCCATTTTTGTCAATAATGTCATTTTTTTTTTATATTCATGCCTTAAATAATAATTCTAGTCAGTGATATTATAACTAATACAACACCGCTTTTGGAAAATTGGAACAAAGTAATATATGCACCTTACATCCTTATACAAAATGGCTTCATGCACTGCTATTGCCAACCAATATTTTCCTGTGTGCTCAGTTTTGTTCTTCCTTTGATCTGTTGATTGTCTTTTACTTCATTTTCCCTTTTGATCATGGTATTTTCTTCCCTGCGACTTATAATTTCTATGATCCATTGGAAAATGTTTGGGATATTTTATCCCTTTTCATTGTATAATTTTTAGAAGGAGAACGACACATTAGTTGTGCAACATTTAAAGATTCGCAGACGACTTGCAGAGATTTTTTACAAACATACCTGAAATACAGATGCCGTTATTGCTACAGTTGTTTCTACACAAGTTGCTTGTTATTTGTTCAAGAATTGTCTGTGAGCCATCAGTTGTGTTCAGAATAAAAAGTGATTCATTTCTGGAGATTTCCGTCATGATATTCGTTGCCATGGCATTGATAGTATCCATTAAAAATGACTTATCCCCAGTTACCTATAATTTATTGTTATAACTTGTCATACGAGTGAAGGTTTGGTACCATTAAAACGTTTAAACCCGCTGCAATTGTTTGCACCTGTCCTAAGTCAGGAATCTGATGTTCAGTAGTTGTCGTTTGTTGATGTGGTTCATAAGTGTTTCTCGTTTCTCGTTTTTTTATATAGATTAGACCGTTGGTTTTGCCGTTTGAATGGTTTTACACTAGTAATTTTTTTGGGGCCCTTTATAGCTTGCTGTTCGGTGTGAGCCAAGGCTTCGTGTTGAAGACCGTATTTGGACCTATAATGGTTTACTTTTATAAATTTTGACTTGGATGGAGAGTTGTCTCATTGGCACTCATACCACATTTTCTTATATCTATGTAATTGCGAATCATAGACTAACTATATAATAAAATTTTCTATTGAGGTTTTGTTACCATTTCAGCTAAGAATATATAATGTTGCGAAACATTCATTATCCAAAATATTCAACAATAGTCACTCTGACATAACAATTACATCATAAAAGATTTAAAATATTAATCATAATAATAATAATACTAAGAACTAAAAACATAATTAAGCATCTCGTTTAAATATATTGAAATTTTCTCATAATCATGTGTCCATAAAAAAGGCGGACGATACCAAGGGACAATGTAAGATTAGAGTCCAAGAAAAAATCACAAAAAAGAAAAACCATGAAAAGAAAATAAGTTAAAAAAAAAACACTTCATAGAAAAGTTAAAACTGGTCAACAAGAACCCTGCCAACAGTCGGAGGTAATAAAAGGTGCTGCGTTCTGTATACATTAAGGACACAGATAACACGAATAAAATAGTTTTTTTTTGTAATAGTGTTGCGAAACATTCATTATCCAAAACGTAAAGCTACCCGCATTGACAAGAAACAAGAGAGAGAGAGAGAGTAATTATCAAACCGGATACGGAATAACCCTTTCAAATTCCGGAATGATACAGATACCAGACTAAACAACATCCGAAAGGGCAAAAAGTTCATGTTCCACATGTTGCGCCCGTCATGTTGCTCATGCTCAGTATAGATTCGAGGTTACATTTTTGTCTCACGCTAGTGGCACAATCTAGAAAAAGTGGACTGCTGTGGCGACAATTAAAATATAGCTGTGGCTTATGTTATACAGACATTCGTAAATGATAGAAGAACTCGTGATGGCGTTCGTTAAACATCCGAAGGGAAAACCTAAGAAATTACTGTATACAAACATTTTTCATGTATATTCCAGCAATAAAGCTTAATACTTTTTTTTCCTTTATTCTGAGTATTAAACCAACAAGACACGTTCAATAATAATTCGATGAAAATATTAAATACTGTGGATTCATTATTATTCGTTGGATACCAATTTTCGTGGATTTAGTGGTTATGGGTTAACCACGAAATTAAATGTTCAACGAATGGCAAATTCACTATAGGCTTGTATGCAGGCATTGTCGAAAAACCACGAAATTAAATATCTTCGAACATGTAAGTTTTCCTTAATCCACGAAAATTGGTACCCACGAAAATAAATGAATCCACAGTACATTTTCGTTATTTTCATTTTCACCAAAACACATTATTCGAGCCAGATTGTTGTGTATTTCTGATAATTGTGCTGTTTGGTAGATGGACTGTCAAATGTATATAACATGTTTGTTGGGTTAAATTGCCACAAATATTAATGTGAGGTTAAAATCCGGATTCACCTGATTTCTGCATGCAGCTTTATAGTGTATGTGGTCTATGGGATCTTTCCAGTACGTTGATTTATAGTAATTATTTCACAAGACCTACCTCAATATCTGATACGCATGACTGTATAAAATTTTCCACATCTACCTCAACAAAATTGCTGTAAACATCAGACGGAATAGCTGTAGTCAAAGCTTCTTGGCATGTTTGGTAAGCTATATCCGCAGTCCATCCGTTTCTAAAGGTTTGAGTGATCTACAGAAAAGAATTTATTCCTTAAAGGTAATTTACTGCTGCTGCTCAAGTATACAGTCCTCACCAACAATATTTAACAGTCGTTGTTCCGTGTTTAAAATTTCAAACTTCACCCTACCCAATTACACCATAAAACATTCCTAAATTATTTATACAAACTGTTGCGCCCATACTGAAATTTATTTAAAACAGAGATAACAGAAAAATGAAGTATATAATCTGAATTAAAAAAGGTGTTTTAAACCTAAATACTATCATGAATAACATCTTACACCATTATCTGTTTTACCTTACCACATTTCTCAGTGCAAAACAAATTCAAAAGATAGATACCAGGGGGACAGTAGAAATTATCTAGTCGACAAGGTACTGTCAACGTCATTGTAAAAAAAAAAAAAGAAAACAGACATCAAAGAATAAACAAGTCCACAAATCCATACATAAAAATCTAAAAATTGAGCATCATGAACCGTACAAAAACCTTGAGGTTACATGTAACCCGCTACTGGTAATGTTACAATTCAGGGAGAAAGAACGGAATTGATTAAACGACGGCTGGGATATGTTCATGATAATCTGTGACACAGGCATTTCATTATGAGCATAACGGTCAACCAACACGTGAAGGCGTTCGTTTAACGTAGAAGGGTGACCTAAACTTTACCTGTTGAACCCGTGCAATATCCATAACACCCATTAAAAAATGAACGTTTTTGAAGGAGAAATTAATGCGTAAACAAAACATGAAGGAAGAAAACACAATAAGATATAAAGTTTTTCTCATTAAACACGGATTCAACTCTAGAGATTAGACCAACTGTTATTGTGTATGCCAATAATACTGTTAAAGATCTATTTTAAATTGGAACATGCCACTTACAAATGTGAGGTACTACTATATTGAACAAAAGAACTCGTTTGAAATGTATTTTGTTTTATAAAACATACACTGTATCATTATTATGTATATAAAATACTAATTGATTATCTAAGCAAAATGTCCGTTTGGAAACATTTATTATTAAGTCCAAATATTTGCATAATGTTTGAAATATTACCATAGTTCTTAAGTTTCAAAAATATTCAATTTACACATTTTCGTTTTTTGAAATAATGTCAGTTTTATAGAAATTGAATAAAATGAAATAGTCTGAACACCTTTATTCAGAAATATTAACTGAAATATCACTGTCATATCATAAAACATTTTGTGCCTTACATTTTGTACCTCAAATGGCCGTTGTTCGGATGTCAATATCTATCATAATCTTTCAAAATATTGTATTATTTGTCAGTTTTTGCAGTACCGCATTTGTATTTAAACAATTATGTAAGACCCGTGTAAACATATGAATAAAGATATCTGACAAACTTATATGTGATAAAATTATAAAGATTTTTATTTTAATTTCCGAATTAAAATGTATTATTTTTGTATACAGAGGTCAACAAGTAGTAACAACCCTTCTCCTTTATATATTTATTTCAAATTAAGTGTGTTCTTCGCGTCTTCTTTTATCATAATTTACGAGAATAAATTAATATTGTAGAGCCAGCTTTAGAATCGTAGCTCTGATGAATTCCTATGAGATTTCTGGTCCGTTTGAATATAAGCTAAAAATGGATAATTTTTTTGGGGATATTTACAACTTAAATACAAAAAAATAACATTATAACATTAAGGATCATTACCACATCTGTACTGTTGATGTCTTCATCATAAACAAGAGGATTAGACTCAGTAACATCATCACTGTCATCAGCATCAGCTGTGCTTCGACGAACTACACTAGAGTGATCTAGAGAACGCCGTTTACGTTTAGAGACGGTACAGGAAGTAGAATAGGAGTTTATCTGATTCCCAGTTTGTTGCGAACTGGAGCAAACTTTCGTGCTTTCTGTCAAGTTACATTGTACAATGTTGAAATCATCGAGTGATTCCGTACTAGTAGCCTGGTCCTCACATGTACAAAATGTTGTAGCGTTATTTGTGCTTGATGGATTGTTCGGAAGGTTAAGAGTTAAATCATCTTTGATAAAATCCGGTTCTTCAACAAACAACTGTTCATTCGTCATTGCTGATGTTATTCTATAAGTAATAAACATTGATACTTATAAAGTCTATATACATTTCTATGTAAGCAGATTAACTCCAAATTTAACATTTTAACATGCTCCCGTTACTACATTATGTTAAAAATGCTGTCCTCGGTTTGGATTAAATAAAATAAAAGACAACTTGTTGACCGATTTTTCTTCAAAATAGAATATCACCGATGGGAATATTGATTTCACGAGTATCTCAGTTTATCAAATTACTAAAACGATTTAAGACTAAACAGCCAAAAATCTTTAGACTAATTCTTCTTTACTGGAACACAATAGAAGGTACTGATTGATAAAATCTGCACTGATAAGACACAATGGTTTAATTATCGATGTTTTAATCTCATTAATCCATTACAAAGATAGAAATCAAGGTAAAACCCGCAACTGAAAGGGCTTCATGAACTCAAAAATGGTGCACTGACAGAGTGTGTCAGAGGATTTTTTGTGTCAAGAGAACACCCGTGATGATGAACTCAGTATAGTGTTAATATAAATGAGTGTAACGTATTTATTGTGATATACAAACGTCCTACAATGTGACAGAGGAATTGTACTATTGGGAAATGTGGAGTTGACAATTCGTAACTTATTCATCACGTTTGTCATCGATTTCATTTTGAAGTCATCAATTTTTGTCAACATCAAGAGAAGGAACAATATTAAGAGCAAACCTCCTAGTTTCAGTTGAATCTCTACATAACATGTGCACAAGGAAAATACAAGAACTTACTAAAACGATAGTTATTGAGTGACACCCATCAAAATTTTATAAAGTTTTTAAAAGCATTTCTCTAAATAAAAATCAAAAGTAAACGATATGTCACTTTTAAGACTTTGGATCAGATTCAGTAAAAGTTATATCGTTTAATGTGATTATTACTATATACCTGCCTTAATTTGAGGTATATGTTTTTTATTCATTTGTCCAAGTACTAGAATATAGAGATTTGCGTTTTCGTGTTCGTTCGTTTTCATTTAGCCGTTATGTGAAGCTTCCGTGTTTATTTATGATTTGCTTTACTCCTTTCGATCTTTACATTTTCGCACACGGAAGCATAAACATCAATGATGTTTCAATAAACACAATACTTTAAAGCTCCAATTAACCATCATATATTATTAATTCCCTTACTTATTCCTAATAGCATATGTTCACGCATTTAGTGTGTATATTTACACAGAAGTTGTTTGATAATTGAAATGAAAGATTGATCCATCTTGGTTTTTCGGTTTTCCTTTCATTTTTGAAGTATGTTACCTCCATGATTTGGCGAATTCCTGATCACTGCTAACTGGTCCGTTTTGACGATGAGTATAATCATCTGAAGGATCTTTTGTGACACTAGGAACACCACACAGTCCCTTTGCTTCATTTATGTCATAAATTGAAGGTTTTACTGTGACAGTACCGATAAATCTCGACCACCTCGATATTGAGATCTTGATTTCTGTTCCGATTGGTAAAGTAACCTAAATTACAAATAAATGACATGTATTTCATATCTTACAATGTCATATTACAGAAATAAAATAATTTATTAAAAGGGGAACAATAAAGATCTAATTAAAAGTTGAACTTCTCATCATTTGTATGTGCCTGTCCATAGTCAGAACCTTCGTCAGTACTTACCATATGGCATATACGAGTTTTAATGGCTGATATTTTTTTTTTATTAATTACTGTTATAACGATTTAGATCTGTATATTTTGCGAAGATACATATTACTTGTTAATTACTGTCATGACACTCTTTGGCTTTATTTGACTGTCAGCTGCTTTTGCTTTGATTATACCCAACATCTCCTTTTTTCATAAATGTAAGGTAGAAATAATACTTTAGGATGAAAAAAACCGTTTGACAACTCAATAGAATACTGAATATATGCAGAATACCACGACAGACGTTTCCCGTTGGGCCGGAACTGCGAACACAGTCGTAGCAGATGGATTCCTTCAGTGTTTGTGAAGGATTCATATGCTCCATTTTTGATTTTCTGTGCAATATTTGTTTTTCGTCTTTTCGTGTTTTTTCTTGTAGGCCTTTGGTGCTGTCTGATGATTATGTATAGTCCCTTTGGTATCTCATGTCTTTTTTTTTATTATATAAAAAAACGACTATTTCTATACAAAAGTACTGATAATCTACCTTGTACTCGTTTCGTGCTTGATTAAAGTCAATTAGTAGGTCGTTGTCATCGCAACTTATTAATTTGGTAATTGGTGTTGTTAATAATTCCTTTTTCGTCCTTGAAATAGATTTACAAGTCCTGATAACAAACAAGGAACTGCGACTTCGTATTGCTATCGCACAGTGACAAGCTGAACCTTGCCAACCATATCCGCAGTTGGTCAACAACGCATGGAGCTGTTAACAAAAAAGAATATAGGATGATACTTTGGATGCAACTGTCCGGAAACGTTTTTAAAAGAAGAGTCCATACAACATTATATTATTATTTCCGTAGTATGAAAACTTATGTCTTGCCGTTTTTACCTCCTGAACCAATTTGAAGCAATACTGTCATTAAATATGAATGGTCCATGGATAGAGTTATGTACCTGGCAAGCAACATATTGTTATATTTTCAGAAAGTTTGCATACTAATTTTTCTTGTTTGAATGACAGATCGCATGATGGAACCTTGTTCTTTGATAAATATCTTCTATGTTGGTCAATACAGCATTTTTCAGCGTTTTATTTTTATTTTCTGGATATATATTGCATTTCTTTTTCAACATACTTTCATTCTTAGTTGCGCAGCAATGAAAGTTGTTTGTTTTTCCAAGGAAATGTAAATTTAGTTTAAGATATTCAATACGAAAACGATTTCTGCGTTTTAATTTGTTTGTTTATGTCAATAGTTGATTGTTTACCTGTGGAATTTTTGGTGTTTGCTTTTGGTTAAAATATTGTGGGACGTCTTAAATATTGGTAAACTGTCTGTGATTTTGCAGTCCATTCACATTTGTTTCATTTTATCTTTATAGTAAAATCGCTTTTTCTTTTTTTCTAACACTATATATCGGAAAGGCATTAATTAATGAAAAAGAAACACACTTAATTATTTGATGAGGCTGATGCGATTTTCTGGATTTTATCCATCGTAAACACTTTAACATAACATGCCAGGTATTCATATACTTGTTGGGTGTTCCCTGCTTTTAATGGATAGGCATTCAAGTAACTTGATTGTTAGTTTTGTTGAAATTTGAGGGGAATATTGAGAATAACCCAGTTTAATTTATATTTATACATACTAAAAATTTTGGGAATATTTGCACCTCCGATTCCCAAAAGGAACGATTGATTTTCATAATTTTGATTTGGGATTGACCCATTAACATTGACAAGTCTTCAAACTTATAAGGCACAGCAATACCACACTGATACAAATGATGCATTCAACACACAGGTATGTATATGCCTCTCTTAGTATTTAACATTATTGAATTATTCATTTAGTTGATGTTTTAACCTAATAACTTGTAAGTTTCTATTCTCACCCAATAAGGTCCTTTGCCATTTCTATACATAACAAATTCACCAATGTCCATAAAGTGATAATATTTTCCATCAAAGGTCGTGATATGAGGATCATTTACAGATTGACAAAGCCTGTTTTTCAGTGACGCATCTTTATCTAAAACTTTAACCTGAAGTATAAACATGATTTTTGGTGTTCAGATTGTTCAGTCTTTGATAGTCTATTGTTTTTGTCATTGCGCTTTCAGCTTTTCTTTGACTTATTAGATTTGAATGTCTTCCGTTTGAACATCCATTCGCATATCACATGTATCACCAACTAACGGATAAGTGAGATACTTAATCTAGCAAAAGAATCTTATCCTGTCCAAGCTTCAGGTCATCTGTCGCATAGAGGTTGCTAGTTTTTTTGCCTTGGGTTGATTAATCAACATATTGTTACGAAATTTCACATTGCATAACTACTAATGGATCTCATCTTTTAAATTTACGCTAAAATTTATGATATATATTAAAATTAAGTGAATATAATAATTAAACAGATTGCAGAGCTGTGTTTCAATTTCTTGTGATTTTCATTTACATATTGTAACATGTATTGCAGTGAATCTATATTGTTGTTTTATTATTCATGAATTGAGAAATGGTAAACATTCTTTTAACAATTTTTACAAGCCCTAAAAAGATAAAACCAATACAGAATAAGTCACTTTTTTATTCTATATTTCTTCTTGAAACAAACCTTAATGTCCGGAATTTGTACATTTTGCCACATTTCATTAAATGCTGACACAGCAGAAGTGGAAAGCCGTATGTATGTTGATCGATATCCACTATTATACAGACCATCACTAAAACCATACACTTCCAGTTTCTTCTCTTCTTGCCAGTCAGTGGCTCCAAATTTGATGCCGCAAAATTGTGCTTTGAATATGATATCTTTTATGGCAATGTTATTAGAACACGATCCGACGTTTGGATTCTTTTTAGGTTGAAACACATAAAAACTCTGATCACAGCGAGCCATGAGGTTTTTATGCGAGGCAATGCAACCAACCGGAACTGTCGACTTGAATGAAATTGTAATGGATTCGCCTTCAATGACCGTATAGTCATATTTCTCCGGCTAAAAAAAATAAAATAACAGTAGACTGATACTACACATTGTATAATGAATTTTCAAATGGAATTTTAAATCAATAAAATACAGTATACTTAACAATTATATATTCTTAGCCAATGTACGTGTGTTTTACTCTGACACCGCTTTGGAATATAAAATCATCAGCTTTGAAAGACCTAACATTTGAATTGTCCAATACAATAAGTAAAACCAAGCTGAGGGTATCATACAACTTAATATGTTGACCATCATGATAACTTTCATACATATGCGCTAACTATAATTTGTAAATATTCTGATAGCCTAATTGTTTAACATGTTTAATATTCATATGCATATAAAAAGCATCTTTAAAAAGAAAAACAAAGCGTTTATAATGATAAATGGTTTAATGGTTACACTTGAAGGTCATATAAAAAAATTATTATAAAAAAGATAAGGCACTCAATAAATGTGTTTAGTTTGTGGGTTAAACAGATTGCACTGAAAATCTACTATATTTCGTATTGTTTCGTTGATAGCAACACTACAGCATTGCCACCTCATTTCATACTTTGTATTGCTTAAAAAATTGATATCGTGTATATCTTTCAAGAAGGGTTTTCTTTAAGTATTAAATAATTGTTTGTTCCTTTGTTATCTATATAAGATTGATAGATTTTGAATCAAATGCTGAGAGTGCACACTAGTAAAGCAATTTTGAAGTGGAACGGCCATTTTGATTTATGCTTCATGTACCTTCAAACGACTGGAATAAATCAATAAGTCATAATCAGTCTTTCAGTCAATTCAGGTTTTATCCACTGCAGTAAATACAGTACAGTTATGAAAGTTCTACAAATTACATCTATCTAAGATATATCCAGTCTATCTTTTGACTTTTGAGAAGTTGTTATTTACCTAAACATCGCATCAACATATTTAATTGTCTAAAATAGTTTCTGAATAGTAATATATTGACTATTAGCAAATATTTTAAATTATTTTACCTTCACTTTTTTTTTTTTTAATTTAGTAATATGTTTATACGATTAACTTACAACTATTCCTGCCTTGAAATTTGCACTGTACTGCAATGGACCAGGAACAGAATAAGCTAAATATCTTATTCTAATAGCACATTGAACCTACAATTTAAATATTATACAAATTGATCCATACACGTATGAACATGCCAGCTAATAATTGTTTTCAGTTTATTCACTAATTCCGCCATATACATGACTGTTTGCATTTCCTTTTCAAACTTTCAAATTCGAGAGCCATTCATAAATCTTATGTAGACGAAACATGCGTCTGGCGTATAATATTACGAGCCTGGTATCTTTAATGAAAATGCTCAGGGACGTTTCGACCATTCTGGAAGTGAACACGTTTGTTTTGATATGAAATACCATTGATGCTTTCATTTTCTGTTACAAAATGTTAAGTCATTCAAACCATTTAGCTTTTTGACAACAAGATATGCATTTCCTAGCGTTACTTGAAACCGAGGTTTAAACATGTCACGGGCAAATATAATTAAACACTGTTGTTATTGTCTAGATGAAATAGGTCTCTAATATAATTTTCGAAGTAAATCAAATGTTTCTAAAATATATTATTTCTTGCTTGATTGTAGATAATTTTATATTGGGTATTGTTTGCAAAATCTTTTTGCCACCTTTCTTTTATTATTACCTTATATGGATTGCAAGATTTTATCAATTGTTATATTATCATAAAAAGCTGTATCAAATATGTCAAAATAAAATTGACATGATGATTAAGATGAATCTGTATAAATATATGTGAACTTTAACAGATTGTATAGAGTACAAAAAACGCCTCGGACACATGAAATTTATAACGCCTTGTACTTCATTTTTTACAGCACTGGATCGATACCTCTGCTGGTGGTCAATCAGTCCCTGAGGGTATAATCAGCTCGGTAGTCAGTACTTCGGTACTGACATGATTTATAACAGTTCAAACAATTTTAAGGTCCTTGTTGGTCATAAAGCTCTTCAGCCTTGTAAGGTCTTATACATCCTTGGTTTTATATCATCGGTTTCGAGCGTTCCTGATTAAGGTAGATTTTGACAATTGATTCGGACGCATGACATTAAAAACGTATTGTTTTCATTTTTAACAAAACGTAGTCGATACTTCTGCTGTTAGATAATCAGTCTCCTAGTGTATAATCAGCTCCGCTGTCAGTACTTCCGTAATGACAAGATTTATAACAAACCGTTCTGAAACTGCCTGTTAATACATTTTGAAATTACAAAGAAGCTAGGATTTCAATTCCCTCAGGAAAGTTGGACTAAGATTGGTTTTGGCTACTTTTATGTCCTTTTTTGTCATATAGCTCTTCAACTGTTTCAATTCTTATACATCATTGGCTTTGAAATTTTTATCTTTAAGGGTTCCTGATAAAGGTAAATCCAGATAAGCGCTGCGGACGCATGCTTTGTAGCATGGTGTTTTTAATTTTAAATTTCGCAGTTTTCTGTATCATGTTAGAATACGCCAATTGTAATGTAATATACACCTCCATATTCATTTTATAACTATCCATCCAGTCTGTATGTTTCAGTAAAGTAGTGTTTATATCTTTCGTTGGAATGTTAGTATAGGACGTAATTTCAATTCCATTTATATACCAGAAGATGTCGTATTTATAGGTTTCATTTGATTCTTCATCAAATTTGCATCTGAATACTGGTAGTAAACTTGGTGTGGGATCATAGCCTGGAATTTGGAAACTCCTGCCTTCCAATAGTTCTGCATGTACAACAACAGACACATATGTCGTTGGGTAAGATGCTACAAAACGAATAAAGTTAATACTGGACAAGAACCTATAATCTATGAGTATTTATTTTTTCTTGTTGCAATCTAATATTTTTTTAACTTTTACATGTTTATTTTACGTAAATGTAAACAAGAATAATAAAAAGCAATATTAAAAGTTTTACTGTAATTAATGTCACTGGTTGTTTTGCTAAAGCACTGTGTGTTTTGCTGCAAAAAAATATGCACACATTTGAAATTTGTATGAGGTGAACAGTCTGTTTCCACTACAGAATTTCTAAATTAATTTATGTGCATGACATCTTTAAAGCAATATAACGTTAAATACACATGATGAATACTTAATTTTATCTATCTTCCACCATGCAGTTATTAAATAATATCAAAAATTAGATTCGATGTCATACACATAACTTTGGTATTCTGTTTTACTGCGGTAATGAGAAGACCACTTACATGTACATGTAGTATAGATCAATATACTTAAAGATTTCAGCATGCAATGCAAACAATTGTACTTACAGCTACACCCAGGGTAAAACCCTGTTTCTGATGATGTACCAACGGGACAGACAACTAGACCACTTCCTACAAGTAAAACTTGCATGTAATATTCATGTTTTGTTAACAAACATCATTATTATTTAACAATTGTATGTAACAATACAAAAAGATATCTTATTATGATTGATTTAAAATTCTCGCGATTGTATATCATATTGCATTGTCCTTAATGTATTCCTAAACACGACTCCCAGCACGGATCATGTAATAACTTCTTATATGACTATTGAATGTCATTTATTTTGTAGACAAATACTTGTATGGTCTTATGGAACTCATCGGATAAAACTGCAAACAACAGAGTTCTTCGAGAGAATAACATATAACTAAATGGATTTCAGTGGTTTGGAAATAAAAGGAACATAGTTCCGTGTAATGCTGGCGTGGCTCAGAAGGTGAAGGGTTTTTGATATCGAACACAATCTAAGAACATTTTTGAATTCCTCCTACACTGTGTAAACGTGTGTAAAACTAAAGATTTCTCTACAAGAAAGATCGACAATTGCTCAACAGAGATGAGGAGAGTTCCAACTAGGAACTGAAATTTGACGCTATCGAAGAATGCCTGCAGAACGACACTAATGTAAGATATGCAAGTCGGGCTCGGATGAGGACGAGTCTCATTTTGTACTTCACTTCTCAATCTATGAAACGCAAGGATTTTCATGTTTACAGACTATCAAACCAAATATAACTTTTAAAACTTAAATCAGTAAAGGGATTTAAGTAGTGGTCAAATTCCTTTTTGATATCTTTAAACTTTGGTGCACAAAATTTATTTTTATTTAGATTCATACATTGGTAGTAAATAATCCTTATTGCGATTCATGCAGATAGCTGATATACGTTGTGACCCCTAACTTGGACAATCATCGTCAGACACAGGTTAATTATCTTTTTTTGAGCAATTGGCTCAGACAGGGTTTTATTGCCAAAGAATTAGAAATCTTATAGGGGAATTAGCAACGAGATATACATAAAAATTAAAATATGATTTTGTTTTTGTTCAACCAATAACGAAAGTGAAATAGTGAAAAAAAAATTCGCTTTTAGCATCCTGTTTGGTTCAATGTCGTCAAAATAAGCTAAAAAAAAAACATTGCTGGTGAATTATTTACTTGCACGTGAATAATTCGACCTTATTGAATCCGTATTCATGAGACCCCAAGTTAACCTCTTAGGCGGAGATGGGTTAAGTATGTATTTAGTATATGAAAAGGAAAAGAATGTCATCATCGAAAGTGATCATTTTGTTGACTGATTCGATCCACAAAAAAAATCCTTCTTTATACAGTTAAAAACGATTATAAACATACTTTTTCACCTACAATATGAAATCTAACAGACCTAGAAAAATCCAATTGCACGAGGAAGCTATTTATTTATGTTACATTTTTGTTTGTATCGGTTTATAGGACCGTCGGTAGTCTTCAGAGGTCATCTCGATGGTTAATTAGATGACGAAATGTTAAAATATATTATCGAGTCCATGCATTGTAACAAACTTTTTTTGAATGGTTTAATATTTTTGGAACAAAGTGCTCTATAAGGGTATGGAGGCTGACTGATGTTTGTATTGTAACATGTTTAAATATTTAAACTAAGTATATATTCAGGTTGAACTATTATACAAAAAAAACGTG